CGCGCGAGCCTCTGCCCGGGCAGGCGAGGCGAGGCGGTGCGGCTCCGCGGGCACATGCGGCTCCGAGGGCGCGGAGGCCTCTTCAGACGGGCGGGCTCGCGGGGAGGGCCGCCCCCGTCCTTTCTTCGAGGGGACGTCCGGCGGAAGCGGCAGGCAAGGCTCGGGCTCCCCTCCGGCTAGTTTGCTGGGCCGGAGAGGCGTCCGCGCGGGCTCCTTCTCGGGCGGCGGCGTCGATTGCGGGCCGGCATCTCCTTCCCTCCCTCCGTCCCTGTCTGGGCCGGCTCCGGGTGCGCGCGCCCCGCCCGCGCCCCGCCCGCCCTAGCTGCGTGGCGGCCTCGCCGACCTCAAACCCGCCGTCCGCGGCCAGGTGCAACCGCGGCCTTCGGGAGGGCGGCTCCTTGCTGGGCTCGCTCTGGGGGTCAGCTTCCTGCCGGGCCCGGCTACTGCCCTCCCATTCTCCGGAGTCCCGCTCACACCTCCGCCCAAGTTCGCGTCCGGTTCCCGCGAGCGGCTTCCCTGGGGCTTGGCCGTCGAGCAAGGCCCCAGGCTCCCCTAAGACCGGCAGCGCCCCCGGAGGGCAAAGAAGACCCGCTGAGGGAGCCCCGCGGAGAGGCTGTTGGAGGAGCGGAGCCTCCGGTGGGCCGCGTGGGGGCCTCTCGCGGCGTCTCCCGCCCGCAGGACAGCAGGCAGTCCCGGAGGGGCCTCGGGCGGGGGAGGGAAACGGGCCTGGGAGGAGAAAAGCAGACGCTTCTTCAGACGACGATTGTGGGATCGATGGGCAGGAGAGTAAAACGGGGAACCAAAGATTCAGAGAGGAAAAATGCGAACAAGGGTTGAAAGGGGGGAGGGGGGGAATGCTTTGGGAAGGAACTGAATGGAATCTCTATGCTATAAATCAAAACTCTCGTTTCTGCTATCGCAACATTTTTGAAGCATGGTTAGCTTCAAACGGGCTAACTTTACAGAATGCATCCAAACTTTGGGACCCAAATGGAATTGAAATTTGGCAAATTTTATAAAACATTTTATGAATAGTGCAAAGTGTCCTAAAATGTTTCCTGTGGTCAATTCCTGATGCTTGATTGCCAGTTCAACGTGGGCGAATTTCGAGGCAGGTGCATCTCTAAACGTATCCCTGAATTTTTAAGACCTTTTCTAATCCAGTCGAAGCTCTGTCCTTGGAGGGACCGAGGAGTTTGCTAGGGAAATACTCCTGGAGGATGACCCTGAAGGGGGTCGTGGGCTGTCCAGCAAAGAATAAAAGTGATCTGGGATGAAACTGAGGATGAAATGCACGAGATGCTTGTATCAAAGGATAGTAATGCCTCAGAGAGTGGAATCGAAACAAATATTACTCCAAGAAAAAAAAAATGCATGGAAAGGAAGTTATAAATGGTAAAAAAAGTTGAAAAACTATAAGGCTGCAGGTGAGGATGCTGTAACTAGAGAAATGCTAAAACATGGGTGTGATTCCCTTATGCGGTGCCCTGGAAACTTGTCTAATTGTGTGGTTGTAGCTGTGTCTAGCAATTAGAAGAATGCAAAGAATTTTCCTTTTGTATAATGGAAGGATAACTAAAATGAATGCATAGTCTATATGGAGACTCGTTTGTTTTGTGTGCCCACAAAGACATTCATCAGAATTCCAGCTGAAGGCTATCATGACTGAAATTAGAGAAGTACAACTTTATATGCCAGGCTGATAGTGTGCAGGCCATGGAATCATAGAATCTTAGGCCTGGAAGGGACCTTGGTGGTCTTCTAGCCCAACCCCCTGCCCAAGGCAGGATACTTAATCATCCCAGGGCCCAGACAAACGGTTGTCCATTTTTTTCTTGAAAAACCTCTAGTTATGGAGCACCCACCACTTCTCTTGTCAGGAAATTCCTTATTTCCAGGCTGAATCGCTCTCTTTTCACCTTCCACAAGGGCCTAACCGAGGCCTGCCCAGTGGAGAGTTGATGGGGCCCTCTCTGGGGCGGGGCTGGCCCCTTCTTGCTCCAAGAGCTTCGGGAGCTTAATGTTGGCCGGGCTGTTCCGAAGATGCTTTCTTTCCCAAAAGGCAACTGGACTTGGTTCTTTTCTTGAAGACGCTTCGCTTCTCGTCCAAGAAGCTTCTTCAGCTCTGGAAAAGCACCTCTGGGGCAACCGGGGCCTGGATGACATTTAGCCGTGCACGGCTGGGCTGTCCCTGCACTCGTTCCCCTCCTCCAGCCTCCCTTATAGTACTTTTCATTTTTTTACCATGCTGAGAGGTTTTATTTTATTCTGTCGGTGCTCTCAGGTTTCCCATAGGCCGCCCGGTTCTCCACAAGTGAAACTGAAGGGATTCAGGAATTGCACCCAGGAAAATGAGAACCTGCGATGCTTGACGTCTTAATGGATAAGCACACGGGAGGCTTGTGGTGACTGCAGATGTGCGTCAGTTGTAGATGGGGATTTCTACATGGGCAACACTCTGTTTTGGCTAAGTATCTGATACGCAGTAAAGTGTCAGTAAATTTCTGGTACAAATTTTGGATCTGAAGATAATTGTAAAGAAAAGTTGTGTTTAACAGAGTAAAAGGGGCAGTGTCCTCCCAAATGATACATCAACAATTAAAATGAATTTGTGCATTTTGTTAATTAAAAATGTGAAGAGAGGTGGCAAAATGTTGAGAAATTGTGCCGTGTTCTGTTGTGAATCACAAGTCAAAAGGGCCGCAGGGTAGCTGCTGAATGCTGTGGATTTGGGCTGCCAACGTGTCTGCTGCTGCTCCAGGAGATGGACGGGCATCATGAGGTTGAGGCAACTTGCTTCTGGGCAAGAGTGAGTGAGGATCAAATACCAAAATACACACCCTGGGAGAACTGAGGAAGCCGTGGCTGTACCGGAGCTGAAAGGCACCTTGGAGGTCATCTAGTCCAACCCCCTGCTCAAGCAGGCGACCCTGTACCACTTCAGTTGAATGGTTGTCCAGTCTCTTCTTTAAAACTCCAGGGTTGGAGCACCCACAACCTCTGGAGGGAAGCCGTTCCACTGACTGTTCTCCCTGACAGGTGGTTCTCTCGTTTCCATCCGTTGCTTCCTGTCCTGCCTTCTGGTGCTTTGGAGAATAAATCAATCCTCTAAAAAAGACATTTAATCAAAGGCAACCTATGAAGTTGTTCTTAGGTGTGGTCAGAGCCAGGGTGGTTTGCAAGATTGGGAGGGCGGGACATAAACGGAGGGCACTGCAGCTATGCCGCCTTTTTATGAATTACGTCTCATTTCTTTAGCTTGCCCTTGTGTGATAGAGATGGCATTCCTAGAAAGCAGCCTGTGACCTTCTGATTAACCATTCCCTTTTCACCCCATCCCTAACTGGCTGAAGAAATAAAATTAAAAACACCTTCAGTGGGTACAGAAGTAGGCTAAGTGTGCCAGAACAGAATTGCCTTCTTAGAAGTAAAATTCTCCCTTTGGGAAAAGAGAAATCCAGGGCTTCAGAGGAGAGACTGGAGCTCCGCTTTGATCCTGGAGAACGAGGCGTCGTGGGCAGCCAAGGGGAACCAGAAGCGAAGTGAATGATGTGCTTTCACACACAGAGCCCTGGATCTGCTGTGGGAGATTTCAGGGTTTAGTTTATGATGAGAGCCCCACGGTTGTGAGAGCAGCTGGTCCAAGGGAGGTGGGGCAGAGTGCCAGCTGCAGCCTGCCAAGATCCTTGCATCGCTCCCTGGTTCTTGTCCCAAATCCCCACCCTGGGACGGGCCTCACGCGTCCCTCGGCCTCCTTTCTCTTCCTCAGCCTGAACCAACCCAGCTCCACCATCCCCCCGAGCACAGGAGAGACCTTGGCCGGGCCCTCCTTGGGTGGTGGCCCCAGGAAGGGGACGTAGCCACTCGGGGTGGGGCAGCAGAGCCCCACCACCTCAGCCTGGCATCTGCTGATGCGGTCCAGGGCGGGTTTGGCTCCCGTTGCAGCCGCAGCACACGGCCGGTTCAGGCTCTGCCAGCCACGACCAGCCATTCCCACTGTCTAACAACCTTAAGCCAAGGGGGGGGGGGGCTCAATGCGAAGGGGGGGGGGCTCAATGCGTGGCTCCCTGGCAGTTGCTGCCCTCTGGGTGGGAGGCAGCTTTGAGAGCACTCACCTGCCCCCCCCCAGATAATGCACTGACTGGCTGCAAAACAATTGGGCGGAGAGGGCTTAGCCAAGGGGGCGCCCCCCCCCTCCAGCAGGCAGGACTGGGATCTTTGCCCCTCTTCTGCTAGCCAGGGTGGCACTAGATGGCAGAGCCACCTGCCCTTTGCCGGGCTGCCCCTGGTGCCATCCTCCGCCCTGGGCTCCGTACAGAGACTTCTGCGCTGCAGCCATTTTGGTACCGTTTATTGGGGAATCTTTACAGAAGACGGGGCTGGAGTGTCAGCCGGGGCCGGCTGGGTGGACGGCCGGAGTCTGCCACCCACAGCCCCCACCTGGAACACAATATGGGACACTGGCCATGATGAACGCACATACCACACACACGCGCACACGCACACACCTTCCCCAGAGGCTGGAGCCAGGAAGTGTTTGGTCCCTGGCCCCCAAAATGGGGGGCCAATCTCATCTTGGGCTCTTCACCCCCGGAGTAGCCCCCGTAGGTCCAATGCCGTCAACCCATAGCTGCCTTCCTTGAAGGTGGGGGGTCAGGGTCAGGGAGCGGCCCCCAGTCCCCAGGGAGAGCAGGCCGAGGGGTTGAGGCCCAAGGCCAGCCAGGAGACACGGAGAGCGGCTGGGACCGACTGGACCTGATCCCCCAGCACAGACCATTATTGGGGGCAGGCGGGGGCACCCTTCCCCCCACCCTCAGAGTAAGAAAGTGCTTGTTGCTTCCTGGCATTGCGGAGGAATGGGGGAGGGGGCTCAGCTGCTCCAGCCCTCCCCCCCCGAAATGGGAAAGGACTTAAACCAGCCCCCGAGGGGCATGAGAGAGGAGGGCCCCACGGCAGGACCCTCCCTGCGAGTCCACGAAGGGCGGGAGGAGCACGGGGGGGGAGGCCCCGCTCACTGCTCCTCCAGCCAGGAGGGCTTGTCGGTCCCAGGGCTCTTCAGCTTGATGTTGAACTGTTTCAAGGTCTGCTCCAGCTGCTGCTGGTTCCCGGCGAAGTAGGCCGAGATGGCGTTGTGGAAGAGCAGGAGCTGCTTGTGCATCACCTTCACCTGGGGGGGAGGGAGGGAGGAGGGGGGGTGCAGATCAGGGCTCAGCTGGCACCAGCGCCCCTGCTCAGAGCGGCTCCCTCCGCAGGACCATTGATGCCCGCCGGCCAGGCTCACCTTGTTCTCTTCCAGGAACTTCAGCTTGACGGCCACGTCCGCCCGCAGCTTCTCGTACTTGGCGCGGTGGGCATGGAAGTTGGCCTGGGCGGCATCCAAGCGGCAGAGCGTGCTGGCATCCCGGGGCCCCAGGCTGAGCTCCTCCAGGTCTGTGCGGTAAGCATCGTACTCCAGCCTGCACCAGGGGGAGAGGGGGAGGGGAGGGGGGCAGAAGGTCAAAGGGCCACAGCAGCCCTGCCCCGACCTCCTACCCCCGAGGCCCCCCAGGGAGGACCCACCTGGCCGTCTCGTACTGCTTGACCGTCATCAGGGTGTCCTCCATGGTTTTGTTGACGAGGGTGTTGATGCTGGAGACGAAGAAGTTGACGGCCCCCAGGAGCGTCTCTCCGTTCTTGCACAGCAGCTTCTGAGTCTCGGCGTTGTATCCAAACTCCTCCTGCGAGGAGGGCCAGAAGAGACGGAGGAAGCCCCTCCCACGTGGGACCCCCACCCACCCACCAGCCACGCCTGCTCTGCCCCGGAGGGAGAGCTGTCTCTTGCTTTAAGAGGGGGAGGAATAAGCGGGGGGGGGGCGCAGGCCTCCTCTGGGTGGTTTGGAAAGGAGGAAGCCGTTCTCGTCCTCCTCCAGCCCTCCCGCCTCGCACATCCACCCCAGCCGCGCCCTTCCTCGCCCCTCATCTCCAGGCTGAAAGCCGTGCTCTACCTCACTGGGGCAGGCCGCTCAGCCCCGGGGCAGAAGAGCCGTTCAGAGCCTGCCTCCTCCCCCCCCTCGGGAACAGCAGCTCCCTGCAGCTGCCCCCTGCCCGTCCCACCAGGGTGCAAGTCAGCCTAGCCTGCCCGCCAAGAGGGAGGGAGGGGGAGGGGGGAGGGAGGGAGGGGGGGTCTGCCAGGGGGAGGGAGAGGTGCGCTCACCTGGAGCTCAGGGGACTTCTGGCTGAGGTCCGAGAAGGCGTCTGCCAGGGCGTGCTGCGTCTGGACGAGGCTGTAGAAGTGGTTGGTGAGGGCCCGTGCCAGGCCCAGCAGGGACTCGTATTTGCGCTTGGTGTCGCGCAGCAGCTCGATCTGGGTCTCCAGCTCCAGGTCGACGGTCCGCGAGCCACGCCCAAAGCGCTCCGACAGCAGCTGCTTGGTACACTGAGCGGGTGCCCGAGGGAAGAGCAGAGAACAGGGTGGCTTTCGGGAAAGGATCTCTTACCCTCCTCGCTCGCGTGATGCCTCCGGGAAGAGCGTGCCCTGAAAGCCGCCAGAACCGCGGAAATCAAGGTACGAGAGGAACAGAGACGGCCGAGATCTGAGGAAGGGGGCTGAGGGGGCCGGCGGCTGCAGCCCAGCTGCCTCGGAGGAAAGGGGGCTGCCGGAGAGCCACACCCTGGCCAGGAGAGCGACCCAACGGCCCTCTGCTAACCCAGGGCAGGTGCCTGGGCAGAGGCTGCCTCTGCCTTCCAGCCAAGATCCCCACAAGCAGCCAGGGAAGTTCACCTCCCCGCCGGCAGAGCCCATCACCCCACTGGCTGTCACAGCCGCACACCGGAGACCCTCCGCAGGGCCCTGGAAGGGACCCGAGGGGGCACAGGAGCCAGGGGGAGCCCTGATCCAACATGGCCCCCCACCCCAAAGGGGGCTTACTTTGTAGGTGTTGATGCCCCATTTCCTGACAATGTCCAGCTTCTCCACAGCCACTCCTCGCGTGGCGGCAGCCGCCGCCGCTTCCTCCCCCGTCATGGCTGGGTTGGGGTGGGGCTGGTGCAAGTTGGAGCCTGCAGTTGGCAAGGAAGGATGCCCACCAGAAAGACGGCGACCCCCTTCCCCCCAACCTCGCCCATTTCCCCACTGAAAGGGCCACGAAGCCCCCATCCCCCCAGAGACCCCCCCTGGCCCCACGCAGGACGATACCTGTGGCCATGGGAGCCTGGCTGGCTATGCGGCTGGCAGCTGAAGGGTTGGGGGAGATGAGTGGTCCTCGGGGAGGGTGAGATGGAACGAGGGGGCCTGAAATGGAGGGGAGCGGAGGGGAGGGGAGCCGCACCGGAGGGGGCGAGAGAACACAAGGGGGGGGACGATGCGCGTGACAAATGGGCAAAGAGAGGAGCAGGAGGTGGGATGGGAGGTGGCATTCCAAAGGAGCAATGAGACAGTGAAAGAGGACCCCCCAAGGCGCCCGCCTCCCTCTCGCCTCAAAGGAGCTCGGGGGGAGGGGGGACAGACATGGCTGCCTGCACAGGGGAGGGGACTTCCAAGCGGTCTCAACCACCAGGCCGAGAAAGCTGGGCAATGGCCGAGGCAGCCCCCTCCCCCCCCAGCAGCCCCTGCAAATGCTGACCTTTGATGATGCCGGTGGGGACGATGCCCTCAGTCGTTCCCCCATAACCTCCAGAGACAATGCTGGTCTCGTTCAAGTTGGGCCCTGACACCATCACTTGCTGCAAGTCCTAGGGAAGGGGGGGGGAGAGGAATCAGGCCTCCAGCTGCCTCCCCAGCAGGGATGCCAGGCGCAAGGGACCCCAGGCGACACAAGGCGGCATCTTTGCTGTTGCTGGCCTGTCGACAATGGGAACCTCGCCACTCACTGCAAACCGCCAAGCTTTAGGAAGGACCCCCTTTCTTCAGCCGCTTCCCCCCCCCCGGCCTCTCCGCTTCTCCCCTCAACTCCGCTCCGGAGTCCAGCCCAGCCGGCCTTTTCCCAGGGCCCGGACTCTGCACTTGGCTGGCCAGCGAGAATTCTCAGGGGCCAAAGCTATGGGGGGGGAGGGCACCCAGCAGAAGAGGCCGCCCGCCTGATGTTTTCATATGGTCAGAGCTGGAGTGGACACGAGAGAGAGCATCTAGTCCAGCCTCTGCTCAGGGCAAGGTCCACCAGAGGAGGATTTTCCAAAGGGCATTCTGCAGAGTCCTAAGCCCTGATCCCTCAAAAAGGACAACCCTGTCATTAGAGCTTCGCCTCTTGACCAGGAACTCTGGGAATCTATTTTAACCTGAACAAGCTCAACCCGCCCCCCCCCCGCTAGAGCCTCTCCGACAGACGGCACCTTTCCTAATGGTGAGAGCAATTAACCAGCGGAACGGCTTTCCTCCAGAAGTTGCGGATGCTCCATCACTGGGAGCTCTTAAGAAGAGACCGGACAACCATCTGTCTGAACGGTGTAGGGCCTCCCGCTCGAGCAGTGGGTTGGGCTAGAAGACCTCCAAGGTCCCTTCCAACTCTCTTCCTCTATGTTCTACGGTCTGCTTGGGAACCTCTAGGAAAGGCCGACCGGCCACTCCCTTGCCCGCCTGGGCCACTGGCTCCCGTAGTCTAGCCTGAACCGCCTTCCCTGGGCCACGGAGAGCAGCTCCCCTCCCTCTTCTGCGGGGCCAGCCTTTCCTTTCCGCAGAGGTTAAACGTAACCAGACTCCAAACGGGATCTAGCGGGATGGAGAGGAGCCCGGTTTTTTGCAACGTGGGTTTCCTGCTCTTTCCTGCCCCCCTTCCGGACCGATGAGGCTTCTTCTAGGCCGGAGGGAGACGGATCCAGGATCTGATCCAGGATCTCCTCCGCCAGCCGCCCTCGCTCCCTTCTCCTCCCGACTCCCGTACCTGCTCCAAGCCGTCGTCATCCGCCAAGCGCCGGGAGTCTCCGTTGCCGTGGATGGGGATCTCCATGGTGGCTGCCTTGCTCATGGGGCCCTCGCTCATGCTTGGCGCTGGTGGTGCCTGGGGGGCGGCGAGCAGGGGAGGGGGCGCTGAGCTGCTCCGCCTGGCCTCGCCTCCCCCGCGGGCAGCCCTGCGAGCGCTTCCACCGGGGCGCAGACCGGGGCCGGGGCGGTGCTGCAGCCTCCCGCAGAGCCCCGGGAGACGGGGGAACCGGCGGCCGAGGACGCCGCCCTACCGCACCCGCACCCGCACCGGGCCGGCCCTCGCCCTGCCCGCGGGGGAAGGCCGACAGCTGCCGGCGGGCTCCCGTCTCTCCCGCGGGGCACAGCAACCAGCCTCCCCGGCGGCGCCAGCGGGAGCCGGGGCTTTGGGAGCCGGGCGCAGGTCGGGCTCCGGTTTCCGCGGCGGAGGAGCCTCCTGCCGTCCCCGGGCCGCCCCCCCGGGACCCCCCCGCGAGAGCCCCGTCCCGGCCAAGGAGCGGCCCGGCCGGGCGCCCGAAACACCGGCCGGGGAAGAGCGAGGCGGGGGGGGCCCGGCGGGGGGGGGGCGCGAGGAGGCCGCTTCCGGGGGCAGGAGCCGCG